TTTTTCACCCTCAACGATAAATATTTCTTTCCGTTATGATATTTGTATACCTGATCGAACATGAATGGTGTCTCTTCAATGATATCGTCGCACGCCTCCGCATAAACGCTGATATTAAAGTTGCATTCAACTTATTTAATTTGATCGTTTCATAAAGTCTAAAAGTGTACAACACTTTTAAACTCTTTTGTACAGGTTATTGATGAATCCTTTAAAGTGAATGAAGACGAAATTGTGTTTCTAAAAACTGCTTCTCTGTAGAATATAAATTATAAATAGATCACATTGTCTGCGTCGATTTACGCATCAACTGTTATGCAATAACTGAATCAAACTTATACTTTCTATAGCTCAATTGTTTGGATTTTATAATTTTTTAGACTTATAAACATAGCGCGAGCAGTTCGTTTCAAGTTGCTCTTCCGAGAAGTAAACAAAGTTCCAAGTCTTTCAAATCCTAGTTTGTGTTATTCGAATTTCTGAAGAAATTGTCTTTTCATAAAATGTAAGAATTATCTGCTTAACATTGTGAGAAATCATTTATACTTGCGTAAGTTTACTGTATAATTGATTATTATTCGATTGTGATTATTAAGCTTGATTCGTTCAAATTAAACTCCTTCGCCTACTCATCGTGAGGTTCAATTTACTTTATTTAGTATCCATATTGTTTTGTATGAGTTTTGCTTTTAAATTCTAATCACGTTGTAAAATAGAATGATTCATAGTCAAGACTACAACTATAAAATTGTTTAAGTACAATCAAGGGATGGCATATAAAGAGTTTTTAACATTTAAAAGACACTTCCTATATACAGGGTGTTCCATAAAACTGAATATTCGAACGTGTCATAATGTCCAAAATAAAATTTTCGGAAATTGTCATAACACCCAAGACTAGTACTGTTCTTAGAGGTCATGAACAGTACTATGTGAATTCAATATGTGAATATTATCTTTTTGGGCATTTTGGGACTAGATTGTGATCTTGGACATGATAAACACCCCTGTTAACTAAATGCCCTGTATTGCTCACCAACACCAACACCAACAACTACTAGTTGGTCTTCCTTATTACTTTTCCACTGAGTAACAACTAACTTAACTATACTGAGACTTAACTATCCCTGTGTCAGTTATTTGTTGAAAATTGCAAGATATTATAGAAGCTATGTTGGAAGCCATTGCTTAGGCGGTTTTACACAGAATGTATGACATTTAGAAAAATATTTTGTGCATGGCGAAAAATACACAAGTATCAATCTTTTTGTTAAATTTCTCCTCTTTTTGACTGTCACTAATTCATGCCATTTTGTATGTTTGGAAATTTTGTGATCGATTTCGAACCGAAAAAGTTTATTTTCGATATTTGTATTATGATTCATTGCATCCGCTTACCCGGATTAGGATATATTAACAGTTTATGACCAAAGAGAGTTTGAAATAAACTGGGAAGTCTAATATATGGGACAGTTTAGTATATTGGACTGTTTTCCAATATAGGCCGAGTAAAAATAAGTAGCCAGTATAAACCATCAAATAAACCTCAGGTAGCTTTTAGAGACCCAATTATCTAAATCGTTATAGAGACTATAACATCAGCTGAGCCTCAATAATTGACCCTTAAGCCACAAGTAATCAATTTGCGCTCCAGTTGGATATTTTTAATTCATTCAGGTTAAAATAATCTTAAATGTCTTCTTGATCAGCATTGTACGTGTTATTAAATTTACGGAAAGTAAATAAAAGAAACGTCTTATAACACTTAAAACATATACTTACGCTTATACTGTTACTCACAAAACTGTAAATATACAAAAAGATGGTAATTGGTGATCGATTTCGATTGGACACTCCAATTATCATCAGACCCAATAGGCGAATAAGATTCTTTTATTTACTTTCTTAAATGTCACAAAGGTTTAAGGATTATATTTCCCATTATTTAAATGTATACGATTTTGAACTAAATTTTATAAATTATAATCTAAAACCAATAATTAAGTAGGTTTAACTTTTAAACAAATAAATACATACAGTAAAAATAAATGGGTTAACGAAAGTTGGAAGAATTATTGTCTTATTCTAAAACAACGTATAAGTGAGGATGGACAAACCCAAGGGGGTTGGGGGACTGAGTCAACGATGGTACAAGGCGATGATAGATAAGAATAATAATTGAGGCTGACGTAGCAGTTCAGTGTTTCGTAGTTCAAAAGGGAAACCCCGCTTGAAAGGTAAAAGGTAAAGTTGTCAGAATTGAATTTTGTTAACTATTTTTAATTTAATCATCCTAGATTCTGTTAATTTGATATCAATACACGATTTAACATCCGAAGACCATTTCCAAGAATTTAGCTGTTTACTTACGAGACACCCTGTATACAAGATGTGTATGTATATGTATGCTGTAAATGTTAAAACTTTTGATATACTATCCCTTGATTAATTTGTATACTTGAACAATATTATAGAAGAAGTATTGACTATTAATATAATTAGTCTATTTTTAAACGACATATAGCATTGAAACACAAAAAATACACTGTACAAATAAATATGGGTAGGTATCAAAATAAAGGAAATATAACCTCCCGATGAGAAGGCGTGAGATGATATTTCGAAGAATTGAGCTAATTGTTAATAAATAATTTATTGAACAAGAAATACCAAATTAAGTATAAACGATTTATTACGATGTTAAACAGATAGTTAAAAGTTTTACAAAAGTCTAGCCCATGTGTTTAGATATTCGAATAACACAAACTAGGGTTTGAAAATAAGTAGGCCTAAAACTTTGTTCACTTCTCAAAGGGCGTCTTGAAATAAATTGTTCTCACATCGTTTGTAAGCCTACAAAGTTATTAAAACTTTAAAACTTAGCTCCACAAGGCATAAGTATTGATTCAGTTATTATTGCATAACAGTTGATGCGTAAATAGACGCAGACAATGTGATCAATTTATTATTTATTTTCTACAGACAAGGAGTTCTTAGAAACACAATTTCGTCTTCATTCACTTTAAGGATTCATCAATAACCTGTACAAAAGAGTTTAAAAGTGTTGTACACTTTTAGACTTTATGAAACGATCAAATTAAATAAGTTGAATGCAACTTTAATATCAGCGTTTATGCGGAGGCGTGGGACGATATCATTGAAGAGACACCATTCATGTTCAATCAGGTTTACAAATATCATAACGGAAAGAAATATTTATCGTTGAGGGTGAAATAAAATAAAATCGTTAGTAAAACAATGGGGTCAGAATTTATGTTTGATTTTGTTTTTGTTGGTTAAAATGCCTTAATCGCTCGCAAACTGGTGCCAGATAATATTTGGATCGTCGTTTTATAAAATACATAATCGTTTTTACAACTACCCCCAAAATATTTTAAAAGCAACGGTTTATCAAAGAGAATTAAACTAAAATACAACTCGTACGTGTTACGTTACTCTTGTATGTATGTAATCTTAACAAACTTTTTCATTTAATAATAATAATAAAACGTCTTTTATTTAAAGCGGTTTTCAGTAACAATACTGTTTTTCAAAACTACTCAAGTCAATACAAACAAAAGAAATATTACAATACCAATAAATGACTTATTAACTAACAATACCTTAACTTATATTTACAAAAGACGCAACACGATTTGAATACTGATACTATGCATGGTTAAAAAAAATAGTCAATAGTTAAGAATCGCCATTGTTGAAAACTATTTAATATAGAGAATGCAAAAAGTAGTCAAGAAATTCGTTGGAATACCGATCAAGAGAATCCGAATGAATACAACCAAAATACAGAATTGAAAATTTAAATCTTCTAATCTCTGGGTGCGTTTAATATCAGTGAACACGTTTAGACCGTTGGCAAACTCATATTGCATAGGCAAATCGATTTGCTCTATATAAAGGAGCAATGTACCATCTGTCAAAGGACTTGTTGAAACCTGAACTCCTAAACAAGAATAACACATCAAGCACTTCGGACGTTTCGAACAATATTCGAGATAGTTTACTCTTGAAACAAATCTTGAACCCGCGCTCGCTCTAGTCAAGGGACCTTTACAACTAAATGTCAATGGACTAGCGCAAAGGTTAGTCTCACAACACAGATTCCGACCAATGTAGCCTGTAACGGCTCCAAACTGATCAGTAGAATCCTATACTTAAACATGTTCAAAGGGAATTTATTTTGTATACAATTTTAACATTTTCTAAACCCATTGAGGACAAACATTTAGAATTAGTAGGACGCGGATACCTGTTTGTTGTTAGGGTAACAACAAAAATCATCGTAGGAACTTCTAATAAGATGTTCGTTTAAAATGCTTGTAATAAACTATCGAAGAGGTGCAGTGATGGATGTTATACGAGCCATAACACGAATATCGGTGAACAGAGTTGTAAAATGATCTCGGAATTTACATGACTATAAACCTTTAAACCTACAGGTAGTATAACTCAAATTTATGGACCCACGTAGACAGTTTCAGAATGTAAAATATTTATCCAAGTACCATAATGTGGTTTTGTTTGGACATTATAATTTAAAATCGTGTGTTTGTTGGTATTTTTGTCGAGGGTTCTAGCAGATATGAGATTTTCCTAATTGAGATTTCATAATTGTAGATGTTGAAATTAACATATGAAAAAAAAGTTTTCCATTAATGAAAAATATGACTGAGGATAAGAGTTTGATCACTATTTTGGATCAATCTATTTTGCACATGGAGTAAATTACTAAAGTAATATACAGTATAACATGAATACAAACAACACTGGTTTGGAAATTCTTTAATTAAAATGTTTCATATTCTGATATTCTATTTAATTGAACTAGGTCTATCACTTAAACTTAAAATATTTGCCAATCTGCTAATATTTTATAAAAAAGATTGTTGATGAAATGTTAATTTGTTATAATCCAAGTACGGCAATGACAAATATCGTACTGGATGAAGTTTGCATCACAAATGAGGTTTGTTACTTACCAGATAAGGTGAACTACGAACAGGAAGACTCCTGGAACAACGAGATCGTCGCTCCCGACGCTCCACCGGCGTCTGAACACCACAAGACCCGGCATATCAGGGTCTGCTACATGGGCAGGGACCAGGGCCACGCGCCGGCACACTCACGCCACTCCAGCCACCACATCCTACAACAAGTGCCCAGGTAAAGCAGAATACCCCCGCCGCAGCAAACCTGCAGACTAAGTTGATTTCCATCTACCTGGCCGGAATTCCACTAAATTATTCCCTTAAAATTCTCAGATTTATTTTCTATTTAAATATCATTCATTTTGATGAGTACTTATGTTTGCTGCTACAGGGAAGAAAATCGGGGGGGGGGGAGTTATCGAAATATTGATAGCTTAGTATGAGGTAAACAAAATTTCAAAATTTCATTAAAATATGCCCATAGACAAGCAAGCTACAGCAGTTTATTTATTCTCCATAAGAATAACATGGTAATTTTAAATTTACACTTTTTGAGGATATTTTCCATAACCGTTAGACATACAACAATGCTTCAATATACTAAATTATTTGTTTTTGAGCTCTACAAAATGGTTTGGAAAGAAAATGCAAAATCTTATGTTTACAGGGTGAAAAATGGGAAACCCCAACTTTTACCCCATAAACCCCTGTTCCCCTAGTCCAATCATGCTGGTTTGCGAACCCGTTCGAATAAATGTAAGTTTACACGTTCATAAAAAATTTCATCAAAATCTGATCATTTTTGCTCGAGTTATCGTGCTAACGGACACATATAAATAAATATATGAATTTGAACGGATGGTGTTTTTTATCTCTGGGGAACTCAAAACAAAAAGTAAATCGGCCCCGGGTCTAGGTCTTACCATGAGACCTACGGTAATAGCTTATTCCCTATATGGGAAATTCGCTAACATGGAAAAGTACATAAAAAAAGAAATTCCATACTGTACCTACATTAAATATTACGGGGATACTGTATTGCCTTTAGAACAAATAAATGAAACCCAATATTCCTTGCTCTAATCCCTCAAACTAGAATTCAAAGAAATTAGGCACTTTATGCTTTCGTTTCCTGAACACTTACACAATGACTCGACCATATCCCTCAGTTAAATCCACAGTTCAGTCTACTTGTCATCCCGATTTAAAGCTTCTGAAAGGATTTCCTTACCCCTTACTATGAGGGGGGGGGTCTATGGGGGGAGGTTTCATATTTTCTTATGAGTTGTGCAAATCCTGCTGGGCCCACAAATGTGAACGGTTTAACGGTTTAAGCGTATACCACTTATGTATGTATAAATATGTACATTATACCAAATCAAGAAGTATTGATAATATCTATTAAAGTGAAACATAACGTTATACGGATGGATTTGGGTAAAGGACAAACAACGAACAAACTTGGAAGAAATCAGAACACGAATCAATTTTATACCAATCTTTCAATAGTTTTATTTTGATAAATTATAGATTTAACGAAGTTAGGTTTGCAGAATTCTATGACGATAGAATTGACGTTTATTTTCATACAAAACTCCGCACATTACATAAAAACTGCAACCCCTGGTTGGGACGTCCCTGGTTGAAAATCCACGAATATGGTATACAACTGTAATCAAGACTTAGTAAATATTTAGTATGAAATCTGATCGCTTGATGAACGACGATTGATGGATAATTAAATCGAGACTCTTTCTTGCCCCGTATACATACTATTGTATTAAGTTCCAAATATAAGTTATGGAGAGGTTACAGAAGCGTTTACAATGTCACTTTAAAGTAGGGATAGCATTTTTTACCAAACAAAATAATAACTATGAACTGCTTTAAACATCGATTGTTATGTTTTACCGGTCCAAACATGGAGAACTTTATTAAGAAGATTCACTTCGCATTCCATAATTATATTTAAATATTTTTATTTGTCTAAATTACTGTAATATTGTATAACGAAATAATACGTATATGCCAATAATGGTGTATGATAATTGAGAGTCATTTTGTAAATGTTTTAACAATGTTTATCTGAAATCCGCACCTCGTATTGTTGATTCCTGTTTACAGTATGTGGCCGTTCCCTTTCCGATAGTCATTCAAATAAACAGGGTGATGCTAACCAATATTAACAGCTTAACTTCATTCCTTCAATTACTGACTCAGCGATGAGGGGGCAAAACATGGCTTATCAATATTGGAGGCCAAACCGAAGTCATTAGTTTATTTTTAGCCAACAATTTCCAAACGTGTGCCTACGTTGTAAAACAATGACGCTAACACTAAAACCATAATCATATGTGTTCAATGTTGGTCATGGACAGGTTCATGTATGGAAAAACGCGTTGGAAAAATATAAATTCAAACAATTTTAATTTAAACAATACAACTGTATAGTAATGTAATACAAAATTTAAAAGTTCAAAAAGGCCAATATATAATAATTTGTTTAATCAACTACAATACAATACAACTATAACAAAACCACTTTCCTCGCCGAAACTTGTATTCATTTAGTGTACGATCTAATAGTAAATACCCCCGCTGCAGCAAACCTGCAGACTAAGCAAATTTACACTTGTCTGATTAAATTTTTACTCAAATATTTCCATGAATAAGACATATTTATTTCCAATTTAAATAGCATTAGATTTAACGAGTGCTTAGGTTTGCTGCTACAGGGAAGGTAAAAAGTGTTTTTGACCAAACGTCAATAGTATGGGAAATTCGCTAAAACTAGAAGTTACTGTATAGTTAAAATCGTGATATAATACGTCCGCAAAAATTCCTTTAAACACCACACATCTACCATCACCAACTTTGAACAAACAGTTTTCAAATATAGTTTTTTAAACAACAATTTAACATAATTTTAAAAATATACACTGACGTCAATCGTATGTTACTTTGACCCGATATGCCTCTTTTATAGGATAAAGTTACGAGTTCGGTCCGCTTGTATGAGTTCCGACGCAGGATTAAACAGTTGCAGGAAACTGTGAAACTTCATTTCATGCAGCCTTTGGTCTTATGAGTTTCTTTCACATGTAATACGCTGCCTTCGCCAAAATGGACGTATAATTTCGGCCAATAATATTCAGAGGATATGTAGCACCAAGACATTTATATAAACTTTTATATTTTCTTAGGCTATATAATCAAATAGTAGTCCTACCTTACACTGTGGTAAAATTAAGTTCAACATAACTATTTTAAACCTAATTTATTTTACAGCTCTGCACAGGTCTATTACTTTGTATAATAATTTTACTCTCTTGTTTTATTAATTAAATTTTAATGAAATACAATTACAATCACATCTAAAGTTAAAAGTTAGTTAGAGTTAAAACCTTAGAGTTGTAACTTATATTGCACGGTTCATTCTCGATAATTCAACAGTTATGGAAACAAGTAAGCTACCGATAACGTCATATAACCGAAAAAAATACTAAATTTAACCTATAAGCCAAGACGTGTTAATTTATATACCTAAAGCCTTACACTTCGCAACTACGGGGTGTTCAAATTGATCAGTTCATGCATTATTTTAGAAAATAAATGTTTTAATTAAAATTAATAAAAATATATTTGATTAAGCTTATCATGAACAGCTGTATCTCGTAGGTCTAAATATCATCGGTGAGTATAACCTGTATTATAAATTCAATTAGTAATTGGTATTTTGTAAGTATTCCACAATAAAAAGGCTATTCTACGGTAAAAATTACTTAGAAATGTATTTTCTACCCAATAATCACTAAGATTTTTACTTCAGGGTCCGTGGAATCGGATTAGAAATACGCAAAACTGTCACAACACGAAAATCCCAGAATTGTACAGGTAACTGCTGATATTTGATTTGATTTATCGTTGGGTCGGACTATCATGGGTCGGATTAGCAAGAACCAACTTTATTGTTGATACACACACAACCGCACTATACCGTTGAATAGAAAAATTTTACCAAAGCAGTGACAAAGCAGATTATATTCAAACCAGAAACCACGGATGAAGGTTTATTTACTTTTCGGATCCATCAATGGTTCAAGTCGGTGGCGGAGATGATAAAATGCAGCGTTAGCGTTGATAATATTCTGACTTTAAACTTCAAAGAAAGTTTTCACGCAGGAAGAGAGGTTAAGTTGCGAAATGGAGTGACACTGTATTAAATCTTCTTTTGTTGCAAATGCCATCCACATCCGGAAGATATTTTAAGCTGAGGAACAAGTTTTGAGAAAATATTTAACATTTCGGTTGCGTTCCTGAGTTAATTGGACAAATCTAAGCAAAAAGTATTTTTTCAATTGATGTAGTTAAAAATATATTGATTCTGTTGGAAACCATAATGTTCAATTTCGATAGAGGATATTCACGTGTGCGCCTTAATCAATTTACCTTGGTTTTAGAGGAGTTAATTGGTTGAGTGGAGTGGCACAGTATATGGGCTTTGATGTCAATACAATACATTGGCATTATATAACTAATCTCAGACAGCTCTAAAGGTTGTGCTATTTTAGTCATTTTTCATAGAACATATAATTGAACCTTTTAACAAAAGGTTTATTGTTTTGTACAATAAGATTTTCAAATAAGTAGAAGCGTATCTAGACATGATACGAAGGTCAAATAACAAAAGCAACAAACTAAAAAGTACCAATAAAACGCATATATCCGTCTTCATTGGAGTACAATTAAATGTATACGAGAATTTGTATATAATTAATATAAAAATTACTGAGCCAACCAAACCTATTAATTATAACAAAACAATTTCGCAATAGGAAATTAATCTCGTAGATTAAAAAATTAAAAGATTAGCTAGAAAAGAAACATTTTAATAAAGAGCTGGAAATTGCTTACTTGAAAAGTTTCAAGATGGACTTATTCTGAATGACAATTTTCGCAGGTAAAATTGTTTTGAGAGTTGGTGTCTTATTAGGGCGCAATTAGGGGGGCGGGTATGGCCTGTGGCCCCTCAACCCCCTGATGGTAACGAAGTGTACACTACACTCAGTCTGCTCCACCTCCACCGCTGTGCTTTTGCTCGCTTCCACTAACTCTTATACAGTAATCATTTTGCTCGTTAAGAATTATATTTTTAGAAAATATAACAAGAAGGTAGGCCTTCCATATAAGCTTGAGCCAATTTATCTGATTACTAAAA